GTAAACTGCGACGAGGACGAAAATAAACAATTATGTGGTATGATGGGTGTGAAGGGGTTCCCGACCCTCAAGACTGTGCGCCCAGGCAAGAAGGGGAAGCCGATCGTAGAAGATTACAATGGCCCTCGAACAGCCAAGGGCATTGTGGATGCTGTAGTTGAGAAGATCAACAACCATGTCAAGCGTGTCACAGACAAAGATATCGATTCATTCCTGTCGAATAAGAACGAGACGGCCAAGGCTATACTGTTTACTGAGAAAGGCACCACAAGCGCTTTACTGAAGAGCCTTGCGATCGATTTCCTCGATGTAATCAGCGTCGCGCAGATCCGGGACAAAGAGACTAAAGCCAACGAGTTGTTCGGCATCAAGTCTTATCCAACTTTTGTACTGTTACCAGGGGGTGACAAGGAGAGCGTGGTATACGATGGAGAGTTGAAGAAGGATGCTATGGTCAAATTCTTGGCGCAAGCCGGTGAACCAAACCCGGACCCGGCCCCAACCAAAGGTAAGGGGGAAAAGAAGAGCGATAAGAAGTCTGAGAAGAAGGACAAGAAGGCATCTCCTAAATCTTCCGAATCCAGCTCCAAGACTACTTCGACGGAATCAACTGAGTCAACAGAGTCGACCGATGTCCCCCCCGCCGAGAAGCCCGTTGAGGTTGCGCCTCCTATTCCAGCCGTCACCGAGGCAGCCAAGTTGACCAAGGAATGCTTGAACCCTAAAGCGCATACCTGCGTCCTTGCCTTCGTGCCTTCCGCCCACGGTGAGACCGCCGAGAAGGCCTTGACCAGTCTAGCTGAATTAGCAGCCAAGCATGCTCACGCGCAACGTCACTTATTCCCCTTCTTCGAGGTCCATAATGACAACGAAGTCACTGCATCAGTTTTCAAGAGTCTAGAGCTTGCCGGAGATGTCGAGATCGTCGCTATTAATGGTAAGAGGGGATGGTGGCGCCACTACGAGGGCGATTTCACCCCTGAGAGCGTAGAAAGTTGGATCGATGCTATCCGCCTAAGTGAAGGTACCAAGAAGAAGATCCCGGCTGGTGTAATTACCGAAGTTGTGGAAGAGACAACTGCGGAAGAAAAGAAGCCGGCTGAGTCGGTCGAGGTGAAGGTTGAAGAGTCTGTTAAGATCGAGGTTGAGCCCGAGTCCGAATCACCTTCCAAGGGTGCGGAGCCGACTCCCGAAGCTACAAAAGAAGCTCCGAAACATGAAGAGCTCTAAGTAAATAGCGATCTAAGGTCAGTTTAGCACTAGGTGATATTTTGATACTATTTATACCAAAATGATCATGAAGCAAATCTTCCATTGATGAAAAAGGGTCGACTTACTCGTAAGTAAATATGTCGTTGACCGTAACGCCTGCCAGATGCTATGCCTAAACCATTACCGACCATAACTCCCTCCTTAGCCCGATCTGACTTAAACATCAATATCCATAGCCATACTAACCCCCTTCTCAACCGCCCCCTCCGCAATCATCTTCCTCCCCTTCGCCTTCACAACCCGATCCAGGTACTCGCGAATATTCCTACACCCATCCGCCGCCGTAACCATCATCCCTTCCAACCGACTAACCTGGACCCTACTCTCGCACACCAAAACCGCCACCTTATCCGTCCCCCCCAACGTCCCGACCGTCAGAAACGGCAGCTCTTGCTCTTCCTGCGTGTTCAGGTCCATGATCGGATCAGCTTGCTCGTCGTTCGCCGCGTGGCTTGACGTGCTGCCTGCGGAGCAGGCTACGAGATAGTCTTCCATGGGCACGCCGGCGTCGATGAGCGCGAGGGTCGCGGCGTTGATTAGGCAGGCGAGGAGGGAGCCGTCTTGGCTGAGCACGTGCAGGGAGAGGGAGATGGTGCTGCGGGGGAAGAGGTGCGTGTGTAGGACTGCGGCGAGGGATTTGGCGAGGGTGGATTGGAGTTCTTGGGTGCGTCTGTTAGGGGGGGTCAGTTAGTAAGTAGGTAAGTATGTATGTATAGAAGGAAATATATAGAAAAGTTAGAAGAGAAGAGAAGAGAAACGTACTTATCCCCCCTGGCCCTCTTCTTCCGATCAACAGTACTAAACGGGCCAACAACCACACTGACCAAAATCTCCGCCGCATTCCCCCCTCCTCCTCCTCCACTCATCCCCCCCGCTCCTCCTCCTGCTCCTCCACCACTTCCACCAGCCCCAGAAGCAGACGTAGCGCCGCGCTTATTCTTATTCTCCTCGCTGGGCCCCGAGACCACGCACATGACCTTCGTGTTTCCGAGCTCGAAGTACGCGGACCCGTCAGCAGCGGCCTGGGTGCGGATTTCGGCGTGGAGCTGGCGTAGCTCGTTCCAGCGCCGGCCGTCGATGCGCAGGAGCGCTAGGTTGTAGGTTGATGTGTCGAGGGGCATTTTGATTGTTCTCTCTTATGTTGTTTTAATGTGCTTCCTCCTCTTTGGCTGTTCCCACCTTACTTTTCGCCTCGTACTTTCGTGTGATGTTGTCTTGACTATGCGTAAAGGGTTCCTGAGATGTTAAGGTATTGCGTGGTCGGTTGCGCGTATGAGTTGGTCGGTTCTGTTTGTAAATTCGTGTTTGATATAAGATGATGAGCTTGCGCTGAAGCTTGTATGCGTCTAGATAGAAATTTTTGGTGGGGTTCTTTCATGCAAGTACACCCCCTGTAAGGTGCTACCTGGGGCCAGATTAGCGTCGCTGTCGTTCAGCTTCAGCGTTGCTAAAAGCGGGTACACTCTTAGCTCCAAGATTAATTTTTGAGATTCGAACTAGAATTTTTAGAATATTAGGTAGTTCATATTTACAATGTTGTCAATGACTCGTAAAGTCCCTTAAGCATATGGGCTACAGAGTTTTTGACATTAAAAGCACGAGCTAATAGTAGTGATGCGGTGGACAATTACTTCGTTGAAATCCTATCAATTCAAGTTCTCTTCAGGCCTAATTCATCTGAGTGAGAGGTGAGTATACTACCCAACATATCCGTGGGTTTGCCATAACCATTGCCTAACATATAATTCCCAATTGCCAATAAGCCCTTTGCCATCCATTACTCCATTGAACGTTGCAGTTTCAATACTATAATAAGGAGGAGAATAAGAGACTACCTAGTACGTCTTGTACTACACTGCCACCATAATACCCGGATTGCCGTGTTCTATGAGAAGGGGGGCATTGAGGTCCAACGCCGGCTGCGGTTCTACTTCCTCCGCATCGGACCACCCCCTTTCCTTACCCCAAAGGATTTTCAGTCCCCTGGTGGTTACGACTTCGATCAGTCCACGCATTAGAGCCCCTGATTTCTTAACATTGGGCCATGCTTCAAACTCAATTCGTCCAACCCATGGCATCTCGTTAAGAACACTAGTAAGTAAGGCCTTGGAGAATCGTTCATAAAAGTTATCCGGCTGTCGGAATCCCTTAAAGAAGTCGTTGCCTGGGTCGCATTCGACGTATACGGTAATTCTCGTGACGTTGACACAATCCGATAGACCCAGTGCGGGATTCACTACCCAGCCTCTAGGCGGACTACTCCATCCCGGTCCTAGACGTAGTTCGAGTGAGGTGAGGAATGATCGTTGGTTGGGTTTCATGCGAGCTAGGAGGGGCTTCTTGGTCTTGAAGAAACGCCCTGGTGTCGTCGGAAATATGCGAACCGGGTGAGTGCTATAGAACAAGTATGATGCCTCCTGGTATATAGTGCGACAGGATCGGAGAATAGCTAGTTTCTGGTGGATTCTCTTGTGATTGTCGTAGTCGAGGTCGAGCACGTGGCCGATGTTAATAAAGTGGTAATCGTAGACCTTCAGACGTAGTTCGGATGGGAGATCGAGGAAACGGAATGGCTGTGGCTTGACTCGTTTTGGCTTTGGCTGATTCGATGCTGGGCCATCCAACGTAAGAGCTCCGATTTGTAACTTGGCCACTTCGTCATTGATGTCGTGTTCTGCTTCTGAAGCATAAGTCGAAGGCAAAGCCGAGCTCAAAGGAGTGGTGGCTGAAGAGATTGAAGCGACAGGCGTCGGACCTGAACCCTTAACAGCCCTCGCACCCTTCGCTACGCCGTGCTTGCGGCGCATCGTGCAGACGTTGGTTTATCGGAGATCGCAGGTTGGTTTGCTCGGAAATCCTAGAACACCTAGGTACCTAGTAGGCGTGAAAGTAGCTAGGCAAGCAACGCGAAATAAACGTCACGCGACAGTCAACGTCGGATATAAAAGGCAAAAGAAGTCTAATGTCAGGTTTACTCCTTAGTATACGTGGAGACTCGCTCCGTAGTTAATTTAGGACAATTGATGGGATCGGTGTGAAAGGTGGTAGTAGAATCGCGAGGGTGGTGCCATCGCGATTCTTCAACGAGTGACAGCCACCCTCTAGAACGCAACACTCTGCGCTGCCATTGTCGGATCAAGTAGGAAGTTGGTCGTATGCAGCGTAATTCATATGATAATAGAGATGACAAATAGGCTAAGAATCAGCGGCAGAGAATTAATAGGAAAAGAAGAATTGCGAATTGCCCCAAGAATGAGAGAGGGGAAAGAATCCGGCAGTAGACAACCGGTGGAAGAAGAGAGTACCTTGAACCTTGGTATTCTTGTAGCAACAGTAATAGTAAGTAGTATAGTAGCAGCCTGGGAAGATGAGGAGGTTGAGTCAATTCTATTTGATGATTAAATTCTTAGAATAGAAGGCATTTACCTAAGGGAGTTGGGGTTCGACCCATTGAATTGATGACATGAACATCCAATAGGACATCCAATAACGGAAAGACTGAATGGTGAATGACTGATCAAGTGGGGTTCGAGGTGTCACAGACAGTCACGGACAAGCCGGGTTTAGGCGATAAACTACACTGCTAGACCGATTTAGCTAGTGGGGTTCCGAGGCAGTTTCTATCCTCATTTAGGCATAGCTTAATTCCTTACAATCACGATATATATACTAGCTTTAGTAGAATTTTCACCATCGAAGTGAGATCATACCACGATTTCCCAGTATGAGGCAGGATGGCCGAGTGGTTATGGCGGAGGGTTCAAGTCGTACTTTCCTGACGAAAATTCAGGGCGCTTTTCCTCTGGAGCAATCCGCAGGGGTTCGAATCCCCTTCCTGTCAACAATTTACTTTTTCTCGTCGTATTAGAAACTCATATTTTTGCTTTTACATTTACGAAGTCGTATTTTTTTAATTCTACATTATCGTTCACAGTCGTTCTTTTCACGGTGCTTTATTCCCCTCAATTTTGAGGGTTTTAAATTTCTGTGTGTATGTACTCAAGTACTCAGTATTTTCACCTTATGACGTGAGGTGGGGTTCTCGCAGCAGAAATATTCCTGTACGTACTACGTGCATAGCTTGATGGTAGAACTTCGGCGATAAAATTTGGAGATTGCCAGAAGACCTTTATCGTACAAGGATTGAAGCTTTTCGATGATCTAAAATTTCCCAACACTGTGCCACGGTTCAACCTTTTCTATCCCGCGCAGTCTCGAAGGACGACCTCTAGTCTGCAATTATACCTTGCTGACTAGACAACAATTGAAAGGCCTTTGATATATATCGGTCATTCGTCCCTATTCAGCGGTAGATTCGTGCGACAAGGTCAATCGGCTGCATCCGGCAACTGGCATCATGTTGTCAAGAGCACTTATGCGCTCTGCGCGACTACCGGCGCTTTCGAGGGCAACCATAGCACATCCACCTATTTCCAGAATATCCAATCCGACGAATTCGATATGGATACGAGGCATGGCTAAGAATAGAAACCGACACCAAGGTCAAAACCGGCAATCGAGACCGAACCAACCCTCGACTGGGCCTACTCAGCCAACTCAGTCAGCTCAAGCAACTCAGTCAGCGCAACCCGCTCAACCTACTCAATCTTCCCAATCCGCCCAATCTCAGGCGCCCTCGCCGAATTCGGAGCCTCCCTCTCCCGCGAAACCTTCACAAGATGTCGAAGCCGAGTCCAAGTCAGAACCCGACCTAAGTTCTCTCCCCGACCTCACCCAAGGCATCCCATCCACTCTCGAATATGAGACAAGTGGCGCAACCGACAAAGCAGCGCTTGCCGCCGTAGAAGAAGAGACGCCCGAGGCGCAAGCCGGTGGCAGCGGTCGCGGTCGCGGAGAGCTACCTGCTTCCGCGTATGTCAGCTCAACGGAGAAGAAGAGGATGAGGCTTGCCAATTGGATGTATGCCGGATCGCTAGTCTTCGGTATCCTCGGTGTGGCTTACCTAGGCCGGGAATGGGATGATGAAGAGGCTCAGATACACACTGATATACCCAATGGATGGTCGTTCGGATTATGGTACAAGCGCATGATGGCTCGCTTCGGAGATGTCACGAGTTACTATAGCGAACCCGCCTTTGACAAGTTATTACCCGATCCGGACCCTATGTTCGAACGTCCGTATACTCTGTGCATCAGTCTCGAGGATATGTTGGTACACAGCGAATGGACGCGAGAGCACGGCTGGAGGGTTGCGAAGAGGCCGGGAGTCGATTACTTCCTGCGCTACCTAAGCCAATACTACGAGTTGGTGTTATTTACGAGTGTTCCATTTGCCATTGGAGAGCCGTTGGTTCGCAAATTAGATCCTTTCCGATTTATCGTCTGGCCTTTGTTCAGAGAGGCTACCAAGTACAAAGACGGTGAAATTGTCAAGGTTAGTTCTACTAGATTACCCCTTTCTAAGACAATGTTGGTTCGGATTACTAAACGATATTTTGCGTAGGACTTATCGTACTTGAACCGTGACCTCTCTAAGGTCATCATAATCGACTCAAAAGCAGAACATGTTAAGGCTCAGCCCGAAAATGCCATTGTGCTAAATAAGTGGACTGGCGATCCTAAGGATACCGAACTCGTCTCACTAATCCCTTTCCTTGAGTACATTCACACTATGCAATACAAGGACGTACGGACGGTCCTCAAATCTTTCGAGGGCCAGCATATTCCGACCGAATTCGCCCGCCGAGAAGCGATCGCTCGCCGAGAATTCCAGAAGAAATTCGAATCCGAGAAGAGGAAGCGAAAGAGTGGTATGGGAGCTCTAGGTGGCTTACTTGGATTGAAGCCGAGTAACATGAGCATGATGGTGCCAGCGGAAGGAGAAATCAGCCCGAGTGAAGCTTTCGCGCAAGGCAAGATGTTACAAGATATTGCGCGGGAGAGGGGTCAGCGCAACTACGAGATGATGGAGAGGGAAATCCGGGAGAACGGCGAGAAGTGGCTCAAGGAAGAGCAACAGGCTACCGAGAAGGCGCAGGCCGAGGCTATGAGCAGTATGAAGTCGTCCTTTACGAACTGGTTCGTACCTGCCAAACCGGAGGATAACCCGGCTCCTGCCGAGCCCAAACAATAAATCACGTGAATAGGAGGATAGGCATGTAACTTATGGAGGTGTATGATAATGGATAAAGAACGCTTGGGGAAAGGCGTTGAATAATCGCATCATGGTTGTAAATGGGGGTGGAGGGGTGGTTACGAACGGCGACGACCCTAACCGCTAACTACCACTACCACTACCACTACTATTATTATTACGTTACCCCGGGAAACGAGACGAAACTCTACTCTGAAACGGCGGGCATGGTTCTTGCATAGGACGGGCTGAATGAATTCAAGTTTGGGGCGAAAAACTGACTGACATCATGGATGCATTGCACACACATCACGGCCACGGCTTAAAGAAAAAATCTACTCGTGTCATACCTATGGATTTCGGGAAAGTCCTCGGTGGATTTGAAAAGATGGGGGAAATGAACGATAGTGAGGGGAGGGGAAGGAGGACGGTAGAAGGGGAATATACGCCGAGATGCAAAATGTAATCTCTGTATTATAGTATAAGTGAGCGATTCGAGGCTTTCTACCCGGCCTCGATTGCGGTGTATAGAAATCCATCCATCCATCAAAACACCCGCCCAAGTTTACTTGATTAGTGGGACTGATGTTGGGTTTTAGCATTGGAACATTATGACTTTGGGGGGGTTTTGTTATTTATTTCATGGTGAAGGAGGTCAGTTGCCTTCCGATTCTGAAATTGAATTCAACTTCACTTCCTATCGTGAAAAAATCAACGCATGTGCTAAGTAGAAAACGCCTCCATCCCAACCCGTAATTGTCTAGGTTGCTTTATCGACTGCCATATCCTTGCCTCATTGCATTAAGTGACTAGGTACCATTAAGCAGTCTATGCGCTAGACGATGAAGTGGACGACGTCGAAGTCGAAGTCGAGGTTGAGGTCGAGCTCGACGTGGTGGAGTCCCAGACGTGAGCACGGCACCACTCGCAGTTCGGGTCAGTTTCGCAATTGAAATCACTTTATAGAATGAGTTAGTATTTCATATATTCCTTCGATATTTCTTATTGTTGTAATGTTTAAGAATTACTGGGGAAGGAAGATGAGGAGGAAATTAGGTTGGGAGAAGTTGAACTTACTCCGAACTGCAAGAGCTGCAGTATTGCTGGATCTTGGTACAGTCCGGGGTGCTGCTAGCGGCCGCGAACTCGACGGCATCAGGTGCCGGAGCCTGCGTGATGGTGGGAGGCATTGCCGGGGGTGCCGCGATTACGGCACCGCAGCAGGCGAGGGCGGCCGCGAGAAGAGTTGACTGACGCATGGTGAGAGTTTGAGAGTGCTGTATTTCCGATTATGAGATTAATATCAAGTCTAAAGGGATACCTTTATGTGTTGAATGATGTATGCTGAACATACCTAGTTTGTCTGGAGTCCTTGTGGGTAAATTTTAATGGACACTCTCATCAGATTTGGAAGTGATTCGATCTCTGGCGTTTAGTGGAGGCCTGTATGAGTTGTTGAGATGAAGATCTGTGGAGGAAAATATTAAAGAAGCTCCCGGTCAGATCTGGTCTTGTCTCGGCATCAAAATTCAGGCCTAGGTGAGGTGTAGGGACTGGGATTTAAGTGCCAGGTCTATTTCATGTAAATGAATTGTATTGGAAGGCGCCGGCATCTCTCCCGCCTTTTGATTTATGTAATAATGAACGAATAAACTGAGTCACTTCTTGTCCTTTTCGACATCAGTAGTGATTCCGGTTTCTCGTTTTGTCAGACAGGAAAGTGGTTGGAATAACCATTGTGAGAAGGCACACGCGGAACGTCAAAAGCCTCGTGGCCTTCTGCCGTTGAGGCTATCACCATCTCTCATTCCGATGTCTTGGCAGGTTCTGTAGTCTCACAGAATGTCGTATGGTTGACGGCCCCTTACATTCGGGCGCTCACTCCCTCCGACCCTTGACGACATAAGGCTTTCAGGTAAGAGGTAGGTATGTTTTTCGTATCTTTGTGAAAACCACCAGGAGGTAGCTGTGCGGACACAAAGACCAAGCACGAGGCATAACTCCATCGCGCGCAATGACCTATGTTGACAAGAGCTACTGTTTACGATATAGAGGACGACAGCTCAAGTCGTACAAGTTTCAGATCCGTGATTAGATTCAAAGCGTCCGTGGAAAAATGATAGGATCATAGATAAAATATCGGCATTTCGCCTACGGTAAACTCGGCCCCGTGTCTCGGGACCGGTATTTGCTAGAGATGCCGACGTCCGAGTATAGGGCCGTCTTTATATTGTTACGCACGGATGGTAGAATGTTGTGTAACTTATGGACCTTGGATCATCTGATGTAAAGCATCCAACGGTTCTGCTACCTAACTGTCTGTCAGGTACAAACGTGAGCCCACGGGGTAGAATTTCTGTATGTTGGAACATCGTGCTACCCTAAGCTGGAATAGAACAGAGAAAGTGGTGGTGTGGAATATAGTGGCTGCACTGATCGTGGGTACCCCTTTTAGGGGGTTAGGTCCATTCGTGGGGGGTATAAGCCACCTTAGGAGTTCGGCCCCCAGCTTCCAGCTTAAGACATCCAAATCTATGGCAATAATTGCGAGCTATAACTGTCAAGAACTATTAGACTTGAGTAACTGAAGTCTGTGATACAAACAGTGGGTGCTCAAACCTCGATCATGCCTAGATCTAAATCTTGATCTGGTAGAAAGTTGATAGACCTGGAAATTTTGAAAATAACGCAGAGCTTCGATGGCTTTCGCCCGCCCTGTATCCCGTGTACTTATATGCCGTGTAACG